TCTTGCTTTGAGGGTGCCCAATGAATAGGGGTCCAGGGCTACCATACATTTACCATTTTAACACCCTCATTGCTTTCTTATGACATGCATTAATCTGATATGCATAGTTGTGCCTTTGTGAATGAGGTTATTGAAAGTTTTGGCCTATCATCAACCTCCATTGTTTGTATAAATCACTTTTTGTTATTTAAGAATTTAATTTTTTATAAGCCAACAGTTCATGTATGGTGCTATGACAAACTAGCCAATATTTCTGTAATTTCCTTTTCTCAACAGTGTTTTAAATTCAATACCATTGACTAAATTAAGGACACTACAAATAGAATTACCTTATGCCCCAGGGAGATGATTTAGAATGTTCTTTATCATAAAATGATGATGATGCCTCTAAAGTAATATATATATCTATATATGAATGAACTTAGGGATTGCACCTAATTTTAGACCAAATCTAAGAATACTAAGTTCTTATGACAAAGCCCTGCTAGATGTTCATCCTCATATGAAGACATCACTGAGGATGTGGGTGCCAATAGCAAAGTGTAGTGAAGAAACAAGATAGTTCCTAGCTATCAGAAAGAGCAGCACCTGACGTCTTAAAGGATTGTCTTAAAAAGGTAGCCATCTAAGTGAAGTGTCAACTAAGTACACATGGGAGAGGCACAGTAGTCTGTGTGATCAAAGGATTATAAATAATAAACCCAAATCTGAAAGAGGGAATGGTATCAGAGATTAAATTGCGAATGCCTAGTTTGCAGAAGACTATGGATAACAGTGTAAATCCAAAATCTACTTGCAGCATTCATACCTAAATTAAGCCACTGGTGAATCCCCTCTGAACATAGTTGAGGGATGTGGAGTGTCTTGCTATTAGAAACAGAGCATTGTGAATTATATACATTATGGCAGATATAGTTAGATTACAATGTAATACCTTATTATTTGATCTCCCCTTTGTCCTATTTTATCTTTTATCTCTCTCTTTTTGCTTTATTTATTTAAAAAATCATTTTATTGGGGAACCTATTTTAAAGTTATTTCAGCTTTTAATATTTCCTGTTTTACTTTTGATTGAGGTTTTTCTATGTTTTGTCTAATCATTTTTATTGTTGTTTATTTCATGTTTCTGTTCCATATGATTTTCTATTTATGAAATCCAGGATAAGTAAATCTATAGAGACAATAATTGGCTCGATAACTGCTGAGAGTCATAGCAGGGCATACAGATAGGGGAAAATAGGAAGCTAACAGCAATGAGTACAAGAAGAAATTGTTCTCAAATTGATTGTGGTGATGACTGCTAAAAACCTTCTTAACATGATTGAACAATGAAAATGTATGATATGTGAAGCATATGTCAATAAAACTATTCTTAAAAATAAAAGAAAACAATGAAAGGGATACAAAGAGTCACTGTACCAGAAAGAATTAGTTGACATTCAGTAATTTCAAGAGATAGCACATGATCAAGAGCAAAGAACAAAATCCAAACTCACTAAAGTCATTACTGACACATAAGGTTCTAGGAAATTGCAGAATATCAAATGAAAGGTTTCAAAAATCTGGTGAAGCAAAGAAAGTACTCACTCATGCCATGAAATTTGGGAACATAGTTCGTTGGCCAACCAGCTGGAAGAGATCCATATCTGTGCACATTCCAAAGAAAAATTATCTAGCAGAATTTAGAAATTATCAAACCATATCGTTAAATATTGCATGCAAGTAAAATTTTGCTGCAGATAATTTAAAGACAAATGCAGCCATATGTGGCAGCCTGAAATGCTTGCTAGGTGACCACCTGGATCCACTTGTTGAGTGGAAATGGGAAAAAAGCAACGATAGAGAGACAGGTTGAGTCTGGCCACTGAGACCGTGGACCTGGTTTACAGGAACTAGAAGAGAAGATGAGAGCAGTTTGACTGGTCTGAAGTTCATGACCTAGCACAAGGGGCCTAGGGTTGTGGAGAATTTGTGACAGGGCCCATGGCCTAAAGACAAGGCGACCAATGGGCACC